CCACCACCACCACCACCACCACCACCACCACCACCACCACAACGAGAGCAAACCAAAAACAACAATAATTTTCAGTTGACCACGTTTCGACCCTCTTGGAAGTCCCTTTTCAAGTCAATTAACAAGCGAACATTGAACATTGAGAGAAACCGTATCCATTGGAGGTGTTTGTGATTGGTCAATAGGTAGGAACGATTGAGTTGGTGTGTGTGTGTGTGTTTGCGTGTGGGGTAATAGATGAGATCATGGAAGCTGTGAATGAAGCAAGAGATCAAAGAGTTATTGATGATGTCTTAGAAAATGGAAGATTAGTCTTTGAGTGGTTTTTGTGGTGTGGTTAGATTAGATCTTGTTTGTTGTTGTGTGTGTGTGTGCGGACGGATTGATTGTACCAACATTTTTTGTGCGCACTAGGTCGGTCGGCATAATCGAATATGCAGTGCTTCACTAATTGCCAGAAGTTTGGCATTGCGATTACGTAATATAGATATTTGGAAGACGAATTGGGTTCAACTGTGTGTCCTGTTACCATGAGATGTCTTACAACAGTTGACCCTGGATTTTTTGTGATCGATTGGCCATCAATTACTAGTTGCTTCATCGAATTCCTACTCGTGGAATTGATTTGGACAAGCATAAACATGGCTGGCAAGCCGGAGCCGGCTTTTTCACAGGTATCTGGCGCTGTGGATGATGCATACCCCAAAGTAATTGGTGAAACTGATGTCGTAACCGATAACTGATGATCAAGTGATCACGAGAAATCCAGGGTTATCTGTTACCAACGGTCTGCTTTCACGAAACGTGATATCTATAGCGAACGAATATCAGAAACCGGAGTCCTGAAAAAGGTTAATATCGATAGCACAGTTTGCGTCCAGCGGGGAAATGCGAACACTCGAAATATGAAAAAGAAAGAACGTGGACTGAACCAAAACTAAGAAATTCTGTTTAAAATCGTAAATTAGTCCCATAGACAGTGTAAAAGAACGGTGTTCACGAAGAAATTTCTTTTCGATGCACCTCGCATCAGGCGTTTGCATATATAAAGTAATCATAGTACAGATATCTCATTGGCCCATCAGAGCTCTGTTAGTAATGATGACAGGGACGAGAAAACAGAGCAAACGAATATGACGAGGCTGCAATAATAGTTGTGGGTGGGGGTGAGAGGACAAAGGTCACATGATCAACGTTCGAGGGATGGGCAGATTAAAATGAACGTTGTCAGCTGAGAAGAGAGAGAGAGAGCGGGATGAAGTTACGTAAGATACATTACATGTCATGCATAGCAAGTGATGTAATCGGGAAAGGACACTGAAGACAAAAAAAATGAAACAACTACATCTTTTCCCATCAAGCTTTAGCTAAAACAAACAATCCTTTAGCCTCGACCCGCAATCCTTTAGCCAAAGCCCGAAATGCTTTAGCCACGACCCGCAGTCCTTTAGCCTCGACGCACAACCTTTGGTCACACCGCTGTAGGCAATCAGAACAAAAACTATCGGAATATTCTGAGGTCAACGTTGGTTGAAAAAATTTTTGTTTTACAAATTTTCATATTGCAAAGCTTGACTAATAAATGAGGTGTGACGATTGTATGCCGCGCAGCTGACTGTAGTAACGGTATCAAAGGCCGCACCACATAGTGATTGGAGTAGGTTTAGACGATGTGCCCGTATCGTCAAACCATTTGGTACATCTCGTATGGCTTCAGTGTTTTGAGTGAACCAGTTTTTAATATACTAAATGATAAAGGAATTACAAGAATAAAATCTCTCACCTGTTTGAATTTACTGAAGATCTCTTCCAATGGATTGAAAAAGGGACTATATGGTGGGGGTAATCGGACATGATAGTTGGCATTTAACTGCGCATCCAAAGCTCTCCGATGAACGGGGTTCAAATCGTGAATTGCCACAGACTTCTCAAACTATGACGCAATTCATGCTTCAGTCAACAGCCACAATCCTCTAACCTTGACCAGCATTCCTTTAGCCACAAACCCAAAGGTTTTGCGTCGAGGCTAAAGGACTGCGGGTCGTGGCTAAAGCATTGTGGGTTTTGGCTAAAGCTTGATGAGAAAAGGTGTCGTTTTTAAGATTGTGATTGATGATATATTGAATGAGGAACGGGGTAATTGGGGAGTAGGGTTGATGCTCTGTTTTATGCACAATGAATCCGTTGTCCAGGCCAGCGTAACAATACTGTCTGGACCAGGTATTTTTGCTTACATAACTGTGGATTGAAAATTCGGATTGCAATCTCATCGGCCATGGTTAAAAGCCACCTTCTCATCACCTCTGAATATCCCCGGGGTATAGTGTGAATAATTTTGAATGTATCTAACTTGTTTATAAAATGCTCGTTATCGAGGAAATGATCAAGAACTGAATTGCGAATTCATCTAACCGTTCTTTCATAGAGGGCCGCAAGACAGTGCTCAGAAATACTTTTTCATAATTTGTCGTGTGTCCAATGTATCGCACACTACAAGTGCGTGCACGTGAAAATATATCAAACGAAGGATTTGAACTGAATGGAGAAACTTATCTTTTATCTGCTGGGACATCAAGGGCCGAGTGGTAGTGAGGAAATACGGTTAAGTTGCAGGGAGCGCTCCAGAGATCAATTTGGACAAAGGTCTTTTGAGAAGTTCCAGGTTATCGTTGCGCTTAAACGGCACAATCTTAAGGACTAGTTATTTTAGTTTTGCTTTCAGTGTCCCTTCCCAATTACATCACTTGCTATGCATGACATGTAATGTATCTTACGTAACTTCATCCCGCTCTCTCTCTCTCTTCTCAGCTGACAACGTTCATTTTAATCTGCCCATCCCTCGAACGTTGATCATGTGACCTTTGTCCTCTCACCCCCACCCACAACTATTATTGCAGCCTCGTCATATTCGTTTGCTCTGTTTTCTCGTCCCTGTCATCATTACTAACAGAGCTCTGATGGGCCAATGAGATATCTGTACTATGATCACTTTATATATGTATCCGCGTGATACGTAATGTATCGAAAAGAAATTTCTTCGCGAATACCGGTTTCTCAATTCTGTTTATTCTTGGCTACCTTCATAACCTTTGTGTTGTGTTCATTTTTTTCGTTCAGAATGATCAATCACATGTTTCGAACCAATTCACTGAGACCGGCAATGCACAGGAAATGAACCGATGTCTTGGTTCAGTAATAGCCGACTGGTTTGAAAAGGTCAGTTTCAACGTACTACGGTCTATGCCGAATGGAGACTGTTAAACGTCAACCTCGATTTACCATTAATCTATGGCGTGAAAAAAATGTTTCGTTTTTCACGTTGACTCTCCAAATTCTCTCGTTCTCACGTTTGTTTTTTTGGTTTCACTCTAGCTTTTTGTCGGAACCGTGCGCTTCAATGTGCTTCTGTTCTTGTGGGATCAATGGTTTGTGCAACAATTCCGTTTTGATGTGTTCGAACGCATGAGTCGTGTATTGATCAAGCTCATGGAAACCGATATTCGACGAGCTGTGACGACCGCGGAATTGAACGAGGTGAGTGGTGTATTGTTGGTTTTTAGTGTATGCGTAATTCTAGTTGGTGTTAACCGTGTGTTTACGTATTATTGTAAACATGATCACCTTTGAACGCAAAATTGATGATGTTGATGGTCTTTTTAATGACGTTTTGGGTTGAGTTATATTTTGGGAATGATCTACTGTAATTATCTATAAACCTGTTTGAGTAACCATTGTTTAGCAATGTCCTCTTTAGGAAATCCTCTTCTTCCTCTGGTGTATCTGGAGGTTTATACAAGTATGTATATAACGTGTTCCATCCGTAGGGGCTATAGTGAACCAGAGGAAGGGTGATGTGGATAAGTGAATGCGTAATTGCTTTGATTGCAGCGAAAACTATTTTGGTGAGCGGCAGGAAAACAACACACGAAAACAGATCGTGTTTTGATGTTTGCCAGTGAACACATCCTTTTCCACTTGGTTTCATGACATAGAAAAGCACGTCTACTACGACCGGTCGTGATGAACTTCAGAACAGGACTCTGGACTCGTAAACAACCAAGTTACTACTGGTTAAGCCAGAGGCGTTGTGGTTTTGGGAGACATGTATCGAGGAACCGGGGCTCAGGGAACCGTACCAGTACCTGCTAAGGAGAATTTGCGTTACAGCACGAAGGCAACGAAAACTATCGAGCGCGATAACGTGCAAAATGGATGGAAAGCAAAAAGTGAAAATTCTCTCGCGGAAGAACGTAGCTATTTGAGATCGTATAAAGCAAACGTCATGTAACGTTCATACTGAAGTAAAAATGTAAACAAACATTTAGATTGTCGAGGGAAAATGAGGTCCGTCAAAATTATCTTATGATCCCGTTTTCCCCGTACAAATAGAACATAGTGAGTGGTGGTGGCCCACATGATGATGTTACTAAATTATTACCCCGGGGATGCGTTTTCGATACCTAACACTATCACCACCACCATCAACACCACCCTCCCCCACCACCATCACCACCGCCAGCACCACCACCAGCACCCCCATCACCACCAGCACCACC